GATGCTTGATGAGAATGAGATACAGATGTAGACGACATGACAATGGTAATAAATGAACACATTGTAGATGAATCATATTTATACGAATTAATGCCTTGAAATAAATTAAATATTTTCGCATCTTCTTCAATTTCAGCGGAAGGAATAGGTGCAGATGGTACTCGGCTAATATTGGTACCCATTCGGTTCGCATATAATTCATACATTTCACATAATGTTTGCTCTAAATTTCTATATGTGATAGGTGTATCAAATGTTAAAGTGTTTGAAATTTGATCAATTATATATTTAGTTCCCGATAAATTATATCAGGGGTCCATTACTTATGCTAAATGAAATAACATAGACAAGTCTTTCCAATATTTTCTAAATTTTAATTCCATAACAATTATAAATTCACTAAAATCAGGGTCATTTTTGTATTTATAAAATATTCTTGCAATTATATACAGACATTCAAGCACCATACAGCTGGTGGGATAGTAAACACCTGATAAAATCTTAGTGGTTTCATAAAAAGATGTCAAAAATCTTTTAACTTTCAAGCTATTTGCCAATCACGTTCAGTCAACATACCCCCGTCATCACTTCTAACATGTTTTTTGTTATAAAAGTCAGTTATTAAATGTTTAAAACATTCATATGACTTTAATAACAAGTAAGTAGAGTTCCACCTATGACCTACGTCGCTAACAAATGTTTTAGTATTTTACACTCCTATTTCGGCACAATAATCTTCAAATGCTTGTTTTCTACTTTAGGAGATTGTGATATATATTAGTGCGTTCCTAATATTTTGAAGTTCATTCTTTATATGTTTTAAACCATTTTGGACAATTAAATTCAAAATATGACAAACACAACGAATATGAAACAAATACCTACCAAAATCAGGTTGCAATACCTTATGCAATTTATCAGCAACTACTTTATTAACACTAGCATTATCGAAAGTAAATGAACGAATTTTACTTTCGCAATGATATTTTCTAATAATACTAATAATAGTATTAAATATATTATTAGAGTTGTGAGGAAACTCAATAATTCTAAAAGTAATATTTTTTTATACGTGCACCAAAGTGGGTCTATATAATGTACAGTTGCAGCTATATATGCTTTTTTATTAATCCCTTCCCATATATTCGAAGTTAAAGATATGACACTCCCATATTTTTGCAAATTCATAATTAATTGTTGTTTTGTTCTGTAAAATATTGTATTGTATCAGAACGAAGAGTGTTTCGACTTATCCCAACGTACCTTGGTTGTAGATATTCTTTCACATACAAGATGTACTGTTGATTGTCAATTAATGCCAAAGGCAACTCAGCACTAGCAACAAATTTCACCATTCTGGTTTGAGCTCTCTCCTTCGAATATACCCATGTGGATAGGGGTGCAGCAGAACCACTAACGTCTGGGCTGTTAAATTGCAATTGTGTTTGACAGCGTGGAATAAGTTGGTGTTTGGCCGCACATACTTTGTAATGGTGGTTGAGATGAGTGGTACCAATTCCTCTTTACTATGCCAATCTTTGTTGGCATTATTTACATACTGCTTTGGATTCTCAGACTCTATTGACGATTTTTCCTGTTGAAATCAACTTAAAGTGATCTTAACATTTTGCTTATTTTTCCCCTTTCGCTTTCCTCTCGCATAAAAAATGTTTAATTCAGTCTCTTCTTCCTGATCGTGTTCCGCATCGGGAGCGTCAACATTATCCAAATTAATTGGATAATTTGGATTGCCGCTTACATGATGATGAAGGTCCGAATCTGGAATATCTTCATGTAGGGATCATTTAGATCTTCAAATTGATTCCGAAATTGATTTTGCGGTGTCATAGGTCATTCGTTTCCTCCCACACCGAACAAGTTTTCGATAAATGTGCGTGAATCCATTTGTTTAATGTAATAAGTAATAATTAGTAAAAGAATAATTGTATAAATATAGTGAAAAATGAAAATTGGATGAAATTTCAATAAATATAGTGAGAACTGAGAAATGAGAATTTGATATTGTATAAATTGTATATAAAAATTGTACAACTATCAACACAACACAAGAGAGTTGAGAGTGAATTGTAAAAAAATTTTGTGACTAAATGCCACTATTTATAGAAGAAGAGGGAAAAAATAATAATAAAAAAATTAAAGAACCGAAACGGTCACTGAATTTCAGTGACCGTTGATGGTCATAAATTCAAAAAAAAATTAATAATAAAATAAATTTTTAGGGACCGAAACGGTCAGTCACTTTTTAAAAAAAGTGACCATTTCGATCACTTTATAAACGAGCCGCCCAGCTTGCGCTCGGACTCTTGTTTTTAAAAGTCCGAACCGCCCACGAGCTCCGTTTTCGCGAGCCAAGTGGGCGAATCGACGAGCCGCTTGGCCCATTTGCCACCCCTATTCATACTACACATTACCATATGTTTGGTCAATCAGACATCTATCAAGAATTTCCTATATAAGTTTTTGACTAAGAAAACAAAAACATGTGGGAATTAACATTTATAATAAGTTTTCTATAAGGTCCTAGAAGGTGGATTAACCCTCAAATAAGCTCTTAAATTTTTATTTTTAATAATTAGACCTGGAAATTCGGGTGCGGATATTATATGAAATCTCTATATTTTAGCAGATTTAGTAGGATTTTCATTGGTTACAAATATTGCCTGCTAGTTTTGATATGATCTTGGTTGACAGGGGCAGACCAAGGCAAAACGACTAGCTTCCTTGACATCATCACTCGCGACTTTCAACTGTGAGCAATTTTGACTCATCTTACATCTTTACATTGGTAGAAATTGGTTTGAATTGTGAGGCTGCCATCTGAGTTCAAAGCCTGTTTTATCTGTGCTAGTGCATCCTGCATACAGAACAGCCACTATAGATTGTCTACTGGAAGGGCTGAATAAAGCAGTTGCAATTGTAGGAAAAGTTCTATTCTTTGTTAAGCAAAAGAATGTAGCACCATTGTAAGTCCAATTTCTCTCTGCTCACAGATCCCCCTGGCCACTCCCACTCACATTCTAATTAGCCTTTGCACTATTTAATGTGGTAAATTACTGTAAACTTGTGTATTATTGATCCAAGAAATTGTAAATTTCAGCATCTCTCTC